CGCGACAAAGCACCCAGCAGAAGGGGACACAAAGTCAGCTTCATGCAGCTCCCCTGCACCACTGATCTCAGTAAAGCTGGGGCAGCTCCACATGGTGCCACCATGGCACCCCTCAGAGCTGGTCAAAAATCCCAGAATCTCCCCACCAGGAGCTTAGGGTGGGATGGCTTTTTACCCCTTCTCCATGCCATGTAGATTAAGTGCTTTCTGGGGCTCAATACAATGTCTTACAGGAATGCAGAGGGTCCCTGTATATGGCTGCTCAGTGCAGACCTCTGGTCCCTTTCTACTTAGGGACCACACACTTTGGGACAGCCTTTCCTATGGTCAGCACCCTGAGCATAAGACGCAGGTTGGGGCCGCCATTAGAAGCTTTGTTTCATTAGGAAGGCACCTTCCCCTCCTTGTGGGCACCCTGTTCCCCTGGGTCCCTCTACCCTTCATGCAGAGCACTCCTTCCCTTCTCCGCTCTGGGTGTGAGATCCCCGCTTTTAGAGGCCGGTCCGCACTCCTGAGGGGAGGGAGCTTTGCAGCCTCTAAGCTTTGGGGGCTTAGAGCCCAGCACAGGCTTCAGGGGGAACTCCCCGTTTCTATGCCTCCCCTCCCTTACCAGACTCTGTGATGTTTCTTCAGTGCTCACACTTGAAATATGTCCACTCAGGTACATTTCTCTGGTTTTTACAAGCTAGTTATTTAGTATTCTAGGAGTAAATCGAGCCCGTGGATGGGAGCAGGGGTGCTCTGCTGCTTCTCACAGGGCTGCCATCTTTCCTCTGCTGGGAATTTTTTTTATTACTGCTTCGATTTCATTAGTTGTTCCTGGTCTAAAGATTCTTCCTGATTTAATTTTGGAAGATTGTATGTTTCTAGGAATTTGACCATTTCGTCTCACATTTTCCAATTTTTTGGCATATAGTTGTTCATAATATTTTCTTTGTATTTCTGTGGAATCAGTTTTTACTTCTTTTTCATTTCTGATTTTATTTATTTAGTCCATTCTCTTTGTTTTTTGATAAGTCTGGCTAAAGGTTCATTGGTTTTGTTTGTCTTTACAAAGAACCAGCTCTTGGTTTCATTGATCTTTTGTATTGCTTTTTAGTTTCTGTGTCATTTATTTCTGTTATGATCTTTATTATTTCCTTCCTTCTACTTACTCTGGGCTTTTCCTGTTGTTCTTTTTCTAGTTCTTTTAGGTTCATGTTCTGTTTTAAGTGAAGATGCTTATTGTACTTCATGAGTTACCAGTATTGAACCTAAAAATATTCTAACTCTTTACCCATCTTTATATTTCTCTTTTCAACCATGTTGATGTTCCTGTTATGTGATAGAACTCCAGATTATTAAAGTAGGTACTCAGGAAACAATTGCAGTCCAAGATGTGTTGTGGAATAAAAAGAGATCGAACCACTTTGCTGTTTAAACTAAACATGTTGAATTTTATTCTAATCTTAGTTTATGAACACTGCTTCACAATGCCCTGTATACCTATCCCCGCCCTTAATTCATTTTTCACCCTGATCCTTTTCCTTCTCCCATTCTTTCTGATCATCTCTTCTCTTATAAGGATGGTAGAAAGCAGGAAAGAAAGCAAAAAAGAAAAGAATCATTAATACCTATTTTCTGTATTTCAGCCTTTCATTGGTCATATGCCTTTCACATAATTCATCTTATTACATTGTGTATATGTACATGTACATGTATGTGCATATGTATATTTGAGTTTGACCAGAATATCCTTGTTTACTTGTTCATTTTTCCTGACTTTCAGGGCAAGCTATACCTCCTCTTTGACAACATTTCTGATTCTTTCAATCAATTAAATAGGCCACATCTCATGTTATTTGTATGCTCCTTTATTACGGCATTGATCATATTGTGCGCATTTGTTCCTGTCATTAGACTAAGAGCAAGAACTGTTTAAAAATCAATTTTGAATCACTAGTACCTGGTACAAAATAGGCTCTGGTAGATTTAAGGAATGGATTATTTTTGCCAGTAGAGAGCAACTTGGGTATATGATATATAACATAGAAAGCTTGTAGCAACATTTTATATTTCTGAAGTTGCTGATACTGTGGGGATGTATTTTAGAAGCAAAATAATGATATGATGTCTGAGACGTGATTAAGAAAGAGTTGTGAGGTTTTCAGGTTTCCCCATTTTATCCCTCGCCCAGCTCTACCATTTAATTAATCTCATGTTTGAAGTAGAAAGGGAAAACTCAGTTTAGTTCTTGGTCCTTGGGTCTTTTCTTCCCTTGGTCTAATTCAGACCCAGTGAGACAGCTCTTTGCTAAGATTCTGAAAGGGGAAGGAAATGAGCCTTCAAGCCTATCTAGATCTTTCTCTCTTAACTCACATCCTTTGACCATTGGGAGCTCATTACATATAATTCTTTTAGTCGATTCTGGTTGATGCCAGATGATTTCTTGGCTTTGTGTGGGAAAGGTGTATCAATAAGGTCCCATGTGACTGAGTCAGATGAGGACTGACATATTTAACATTGTATGGAGTTCACATTATGAACCACTGCCTAGGATAGTTATGGAAGGTAGTTTAGGACTGTTTGTCCAGATCTATAAGGATAGGAGAGAGTCACACAATTCAGCCCCTTTGACCTTCCCCATATTTTTGGACTGGGGCATATGCAAACCTAATCTATCAAAAGTCTGCCATCTCTCATCAAAGATGAGATAGACTACCTATATTTTTTTCAAGAATGATGAGCCCTATAGAGACCCAAGAATGACCATTTTTCATCTTAACCCCTGGAGACAAGAGGGTGGCTGTAGAAGCACCTTATTCAGAGTCTGTGCCCAATTTTGAATCTATCCAATGTCCTTAATCTGAGCATCGTGAACCTTCCATTCATCTGTTGCATCAGAGATATTCTCCTTTAGTTTTGGAAGGATGCTAAATTCCAAAATATTGATATTACTGAAAATTTGATCACCAGTGACCTCTGAATAGTACTTTTTCTGCTTTAGCGAACATTTCTTCTGTCATTTTGTGTTCTGGTAAATATCTTGCTATGCTGACAATATATTCTGTTCTTTCTTTCTTTTCTAGTAGCTCTGTTTTCAAAATCTTTTTTTATATATTGTTATATCCACTTCCTTCTACTATTATTAAAATTGAAAGTTAAATGAATGTATGTAACTAAATTCTGTTCATATACTGTATTTTAATTTACACATTATAATTGAAACTTTAAAAATCCAGAGTAACATATTATACTTGTGTTCACTACAAAAGCAAATAAAATTACTGCTTTTAGTGCAATACATAATTTTCCTAAAATTCTTTACCATTATCTACCATATTATCTTTTAGGAAGCATGAGAAGTGTCTACATTCAATATATTAAACTTAAGTAAACTTGATTTACTTTTATTCTAATGAAAATGTTTTAAAACTCGTTTTGTAGGTCAACCTTATTCTGATCCAGCTCTTCCTCCACAAAGGCAAGACAGATTTTATTCTAATACTGGTAGACTATCTGGACCAGCAGAACTCAGAAGTTTTAATATGCCATCACTGGATAAAGCAGGTAAGAAATACTTGATGTGTTTTTCAGTAATGGTGGCAAACTAAAGAATTAGAAACTGAATTAAGGACCATATAATTGCTATCTATGGTAGCTATTAAGGCCAAAATCTCTTTTTTGAAGTTTTCCTGGTTTTATGTTTCTTGTTATATTGTGCACATCTGTGGCTCATATACTTTGGTGATTGGTTTGGGCACCATGGTAATGGGTTTACGCTATGAACCTATTAGTAAAAATTTTACTCTGCTCCGTGATTAATTTTCTAATTTTTCCAGTACACTTCCATATATCCTGTTTAGTAATCAGGGACATTAGGCTGACGTGAATGGATATGTGAAAATCCACCAGAAAAATAATTTGAGTGCATTCTCTGTTGCTGGTTTAATCAGTTATTTAAACATTTCGTACTTAGATTTAACTAACATTTAATGAGGAACCTATTATTTTTCAGGCATTCTTTTCCTTAAACCACCTCAAAGCAGCCCACTGAAGTTGGGAAATATATATATCCAATGTATCAATCAGAAGTATATAACATTAAGAACATAAAAAGATTAAAACATAAGCAGAAAATTAATATAAATTTATTGTTAAACGTTTTCTCAGCAAAGGGTATATATTGGAGGGGAGAGCATTATTTGTTTGAAGTATTTATTCTTTTAGAAAAATATTTTTGAATAATAAGCAAAGAAGTAGGCCTATGGCCTAGATTTCTATTATTAGTTATAATTAAAGGAATTCTTTCTGTTACTTTTGAAATTGTTTCCCCCCATTAATTCAAGCTTAATGGAATGAAAATACATGTATTATTAAACTAGTGCTATTTAAAATTTTTTTCATGTTCATTGTTTTGGTAATTGAACGATGTTCGATTAAGTAATAATATTTAAATGCTTATTGTTTAGAAGGTGCTCTGCATGACATTGCAAACTTAATTATAATAATGTATAGTTTGTAATAATTACATTAATAATTAAATAGAGAAGAAAGACGTGTATCTTTAATACTGGTGAGAATAGTAAGTCTCATTAGAGAATATGCTGTGTTCACATGCATCTCTAGTTGAAGGACCNTTTAATACTGGTGAGAATAGTAAGTCTCATTAGAGAATATGCTGTGTTCACATGCATCTCTAGAAAAGTCCATGAAGGAGGTGCCATTAGAGCTGCTGTTGAGGGAATTTGAAAAATTAATTGGGAGGTGGGGGTCTACACCAATAATAATGAACAGCATTCGAGCAAAAAAAGAGAAAAGCGACAGTGTGAGTCATTTGGATAATGGCTGAGATATTAATCACTTGACAGGGCTGTATGAGGATTGAATGAGTTAATGTGTGTGGAAGTGTTTTGTGAATAGAAAAGTTTTTTATAAACATATTACTATTACTTTGTCAGTATTTGGTATTTACATGAAGAATGGTTATAGATATGGTTGAAACACACTGACTATCACTAATGCTCAGTAAGCATTCATTGAAAGTGAATTACCTCATTTAATTTTCACAATGAACCTATGAAGTTGATACTAGTATCCTCATTTTATAAGTAAAGAAACTGAGGCTCAAAAAGGTGCTCAACATCTCAGGATCGGAAGTATCTGAGGCAGGATTTGAACCCATGTCTGTCTGACTTAAGCCATGGTCTTGATCCCCATACTTTATTGAAATGAGACGGTAGTGGACCCAGCCACTGATGCACTAAATGTTTGTAGAATGCTTACTGTATGACAGGCATGATGGAAACCGCTGTATTTCGGTGGTGAACAGGAGCTCAGCATTCCTTACACCTTGAGGTTTAGCATATAGCAGTTGCATGATACAGTGACTAAAGTAATGAGTACAAAATGTTATGGGAGCATATGGAGCTCTCGCCAAGATGAGCTTTTAGTATTTTGAGCATGGAGTAGTTTCGAGAAAATCTTGGAGGAAGTGACATGTAAGCTAAGAATTAAAGGAGGAATTAGCTGGGCCAAAATGGTGGTGATAGTGTTTTAGGAGAAGAGAACAGCATCTTTAAAGATTTAGAATTAAGGGTGCTTAGTAAGTTATGGCTGCAGCATTGAGTGAATGGGAGAATGGGGCTGAAGGTGGAACTCTGAGGAGATTACCATGTAAGGGATGGTCAGAGGTAGTGGATCCCACCAAAGAGATTGAAGGTAAGTAGTGCATAGAGCTTTCAGGGGCTTGCAAACCTGTTCAGAAATTTGACGTTATTCACAGAATAAATGCATTAAAGGATTTTAAACGTAAATAATATAATCAGATTTGTGTTCTAGAGGAATTATTGCGATTGTATTTTGGTGAATAGATTAGAGGGAATTGGTTAAGTTTGGAGACAGGGTAACTTTTTAGGAGACTTACGATGGGAATCTACATGAGTGATGGTGGTGATTTAGCAGAGGGATAGGTAAATGGAAACAGAGAAAATAGAATTGGGAGGATTTAGGATTGAAGACATGCGGGAGTGAGGGAGAAGAAATCCTGGTGGATGCCCAGGTTCCTGGGCGTGGCACCTGGGCCATTCATTGTTCTCATACGAGGGACAAGGAGCAGCAGGAAATTTGACAAGAAAGATTGTAAGTTACATTTTGAAGTTACAATTAGCAGCACCTGTGATACACCTGTATGGATATTCAAATCGGCAGTTCAAGCTTTCTCAAGTCCTAGGGGAAATATCTAGATCAGAATTACACACCTGGAAGCCATTAGTAGTATACATCAAATTAAAGCTGTAGCAGTAGAGGGGATTTCTCAAGGAGAGAATCAGAGAACGGGGCCGAAGGTGGAACTCTGAGGAGATCACCATGTAAGGATGGTCAGAGGTAGTGGATCCCGCCAAAGAGACCGAAGAGCAGCAGCTGGAAAGAAGAGATGGAGAGAAGGAAGAGTGACAGCACAGAAATTAAAGGCCCAGAGGATTTAAAGAGGGAGGGAGTAGTCAACAATGTGAGAAATAACATAAGGACTAAAAGTGTTTATTTTAATTTAGCAAAAAAAGACTGTTTTTGATCTTGGGGAAAACAATTTCAGTAGAACAGTTGATGTTGCAAATAGATTCCAGTAAAAGGAGAAAAAAATGGGAGGAATTCCAAACAATATGTATAGAATAGTTCTTGATTGTTAAGGGGAGAGGTAAGAGGTAGCTAGCTGTAGGAGGATTCTCTTTTTCTGTCTCACTTTTACCTAATAGTCGGGAGTGACTTGCAAAATGGGAGAAGTGGAGCAACAGAGAGAGGAAAATCCCTGAGGAAGCTGGAGGGGAAGGATTCTGAGCACAGGATCAGGGTTATAGATTGTTTAGAAGGATCTTTTTCTATGATAATAGGAGGAAGGATCATAGGAATATAGTTGCTGGTAAATTTATATATTTGATTATGAAAGTTAAGGGAGTTTCTAAGTGACTGGTTTAGTAGGTTAGGGAGAATGGAGGTTGAAATTGCTGAGGAGAAAACTGGCTTAGATAGTCACAGAAGGAAGACTTGGCAGGAGGCAGCTGGAAGTATGGCTGGAGATCTCTCAGCCTGGAGTGGTGCCAGTCCACACAGCTTTGTGGTTTATTTTACCCCCAGAAGTGCTAAGTGGCTCAGGTTTAAGAAGAGCGGAAGCAGAGAGTTGGATTAATCTAGGGCTGGAATGTTCTCAGAGACTGAGCAGTTCTTGATAACAAAGTTCAGGAACATTTATTTAGAAATAGTGGCTAAATTCAAATGCTAGTTTGTTCTTCTTGATGGAAGAATAAGGAAGGATGAGAGGGAGGAAAAGAAGGAGCAAAGGAAAGAGAGGGAGGTAAGAAAGGGAAGGAAGGTAGGAGAAAAATGAAGGAAGGAAGGGAGAAAAGAAAGGAGGGATAGGAATGCTGCTTCCTGGAAGTCTCCTCAGGATGCTGCTAGCAGCAGGATTGCCTGGGGACAAGCTGCCACGTCCCTGTGCAGAATGTTGAGTCTACCAACATTCCCAGGGATCTCAAGCTGCTCTGTGGCCCTAATACAGGTGCTGGTGTCAGGCTGGTTTATGTGCTGACTAGGGAAGTGGGAAAGTTTCAATGTCCTTTGTTATTTGGAGCTATTCGAGGAATGGGGTGATAAGCCATGTATTTTTCATAGTTTAACTTTTATGTCTAGATGGACCAAAGTCTCCAGAAATGGAATCCAGTGGAAATGATAGCAAAGACGATCTTGGTGTAAGTATTGAAAGTGGAATTTTATCTATTATTCAGGAGCCTTCTAATCTCTTGGTTTACTAGAATAGAAATTTAGCTAGCAACCTATTTATTTATTTTAATATAAAGCTGTTTCTTTCATTTTGACAAATATACGTACTTCCTTTAATATTATAGCTGTTTTTTTCTGGAACGTACCTAATGGTGATAAAATATAACTTAAAGACTGTAACGTGTCTACAAACTAGAGGCTTGAGTTATTTTACTATAATTATACAAAGAATTTGGATTTTCCCTCTTGGATTTTTATTTGAATGTTTTAAAGTATATTTTTGTTACTGTGTTTACAATTTTAGTTTTGGTCACCTTATCTTATGTTGAAAAGATAAACATGTATCTTTTTTCAGTATATGCTTGATAAAAGAATGTATATTTTTGTATTCTTGGTCTGTTATTCTGTTTTCAGTCAGAATATTACTTTGTTGGTCTAAGCTGGTTTCTGTTAATAAAATATTTGTGATGGCAAAAATCCATCTGGCAGAAAACTGACTTTCTCTGGAGCCTTTTAAAACTATCATGACTGCTTTCTGCCTAGCTGCCTAGGTGCCTTAGGCTTTTTAAGCCTAAGATTTTCAGGAAAACGATTAAAAATTTTGCTCTTAATTTTAGTGACTGCCATATGTCAATTTCTTATAGAATTTAAATGTGCCTGATGCATCTCTCCCCACCAAAAGTGAAGCAACTGGCCCTGGCTTCGTTCCTCCAATCAGAGGTCCATTGTTTCCAGTGGATGCAAGGGGCCCGTACATGAGAAGAGGTCCTCCTTTTCCTCCACCTCCGGGAAGCATGTACGGACCTCCCCGGGATTATTTTCCTCCAGGGGACTTTCCTGGTCCACCACCTCCTCCATTTGCAAGTATGCCTTTTTAAAAAATTTAATATGTGTTTTATAGAGTAAACAAGATATAGTAAGTCTACTTTCTATTCATGTAGTAATACAGTGGAGGAAAACTTTTCTCACATTCTGTGAGTATATTGTTACTTTTCAACCATCAGTAGACTGTAATGAGGTTTCAACTTGATTCATCTCAGTACTGTGGAATTATTTCTGTATTTCACTTGTCAAGAAAATCATTGGCTTTTTGCAGCAGTCTTATGTTAAGACTGAAATTATTTGTATCTTATTTGATAGAAACTAGTTACTATGCCAATTAGTAAAAATAATTACATTTTATATTTTAGCTTTAAAATTACTGGCTAATGTATTTTTTTAAAGTCCTTTTCTTAAGTAGTTCTCATTCAGTCTTACTTATTTAAAACCTAGAATGTGTTTGGACTCATTGCTGAGTTTATCGAAATTCTTTCACAGCCTCACATCAGAAAAATGGAATAATTTATTGCTTTTATATCTATACATTGTCGTTTAGAAATGTAGTTTTCTATAGAATAAATACATGATTACCAAACACCAGGCAGTAGCCTATTAATTGCCTGGTTTGGTCATTCCTTCCCTCATTCCTCCTGTATTTTAAGATGTGAATTAAAATGAATTTTGTTTGGGGAATTTTAAGGCAGTCTTTGATATAACTGTAAATGTTTTAGGATAATATCAAATTGGAACTGGGAATTACTGGTCTGAATTTTGAGTCTAGTGAAAATTGTATTACATGGAAACTTTTAAAATAAGTTTGTAGAGTTTGAAATAATTCTTTTTTAAAAGTGTTAGGATGTTAGATTTTCATAAGACAAAATTGGCTCTAAAATTTACAATACTCCCTTTAATCATGTAGTTGAAGAGAGCATGTTTTTCTCAATGTTGTAAAAATTTATTTGTTAAATCAAGTAATTATTCTGGTATCGATTTTTGAATGTAAAGATTGGAAGTTATAATCTAATGATTTATTAGGGCTGCAGTACAGGTGCTTAAAGTTAAAAAAATGTCTTTTATTAATCTCTTTGAACAGTGAGAAATGTCTACTCACCGAGAGCTTTTCCTCATTATCTTCCCCCAAGAGCTGGATTTTTCCCCCACCCTTACCCCCACATCCTGAAAGTAGAAGTAAGTACCCATCAGGGTTGATTCTGCCTTCAAGTGAGCCTACTACTGAATGAACATCCAGAACCACAAGAAACTACAATAATTTGCAGTCTCTCGTCAAAAGTATTTTGACTTCTTTCATTTTCAGTTTAGCAGCTTTTGCTTAAGTAATTATACTTAATGCTCAAATTGGAGCTTAATGGAATTACATTGTCAGGATCGTATTTTGTAAATAAAGATAATTTAAATATGAATTTAATTAATAAATTATTTCTATTTTACTTTATTCTACATAATTTCACTATTTTAATTTGAGTAACAAATCCACTATCACATAAACAATAATGGGAGTTTCCTATATTTAATCTTGTAGTTGGAGATGTTTTAAACTCCAAAGGCTGTATCTTTATGCCAAGAACTATATTTACTATGGTTGTAGACAAATGTGAAAGTGACTGTATGCTTAATTAAATAAATTTTAATTGATTTAAAGACTTTCTCGGCATTGATAATAAAATCAGCTAGGTTTTCTACTCTGTTAAAANGGCAGGGTTGACTCCGCCTTCAAATGAGCCTACTACTGAATGAACACCCAGAACCACAAGAAACTTGACAATATTTTTGGTCTGTCTTCAAAAGTAATTATTTTTCTTTTTTTATTTTATTTTATTTTTTTAATTGAACCAATTGGGATGACATAAGATTATATAGGTTTCAAGTGTACATTTTTATGATACATGATCTGTATCAAAAGTAATTTTGACTTCTCTTATTTTCAGTTTAAGTAACGGCCGTTACTTAAGTGACTATACTTATGCTCAAATTGGAGCTTAATGGAATTACATTCTCAGGATAGTATTTTGTAAATAAAGATGATTTAAATATGAATTTTATGAGTAAATTATTTCCATTTTATTTTATTCTACATAGTATAATTATTTTAATTTGAATAAAGAATCCAGTACCACATAATGGGAGTTTCCTGTATGTAATCTTGCAGTTGGGGATGTTTTAAACTCCAAAGGCTATGTCTTTATGCCAAGAACTGTATTACAATGGTTAAAGACAAATGTGAAAGTAACTTATGCTTAATTAAATAAATTTTAATTGATTTAAAGACTTGTTTGACATTGATAATAATAAAGTCAGCTAGTTTTTTCATAACTATGGTTACATTAGTTAGTTTTTCTTTATTTCTCCCAGTAGCTTTGAGGCTCACAACTAATGCTTTATATGGGTCTTTCCCATTCACTAGGCAGTAGCCATTCAGTTATCTTACCAAAAAAGTACCCTATTTCTTGCAAGTAGATGTGAATGACCTGATGCAACAAATTAATGTATTTTTAAAAGTCAAAATTTATTACATTTTAAAGAAAATCAGGATGTTGTCTAATGGTAAATTTCATTGGTTTTCTTATTTCTTATTTTTCTCTTCATTTGTAAGATATTTACTGTTTTTAGTGGGGAATGTTGAGATTCACTATAGGATAACTATGTTGAGGCAGTGTGTCATCATTTTGAGCTTTGGACTCAATTATCTTGGGAACGTTTCCCTAACTCAGGTTTGTATTCTATTAGTCTTCTTGCACATTAATATGGTTATGAAAGGCTGATAAATATTACAATACTTATGTTGAGAGGTTGATTGTTTCCAGTTGTTTACTTGGATTTTTTCCCCCAGTGCCAAAAGGCAGGGATTAAATATTCTTGAATGAAGCAATGGTGCATTTGTAATTGAAACACTTTATGCCAGCATTTCCTCAGATGTTCTTTGGAACAGTGTTCTTGTGAGGTATTTCCACTCCCTCTCCATTCTCATCCTGCCTTAGAAAACAGGGGAAAAAGAAAGGCTCCACGTGAAATGCCTGAATAAAATATTAAGTAGAATGAGGACTGTAAAAGTATCGTTACATTTGGTATTTAAAAGCCAGATTTCAGGGGGAAATAAAGGCTACTTTTTTAAAGTGGGAAAGTGAAAAGAAGAAGAGAAACAGAAAAGGAATGATGCAGACCATTCCAATCTAGTGAAATTTTGTTGTTTGCTCTGGGGTAGGGGAGACCTGTCTTGGCTTAAGGCAGAAGAGGAGAAGAGGAGAAGGCAAATGAGACAGTAGAGAGAGAGGTGGTAAACTGAGGAAGCGAAGCCAGAAGCCAGAGAGGAGGCAGGGAGAGGGTGGATGGAAGCACGGGGGAAGACAGGAGGACTTGATATGGGATGACTAGTGTAAAATACTTTGGGGTTCCTGAATAAATGTACATATTTAGCTTTAAAATGTATTTTCATTAAAGTAACGTAACCACTCGGGAGTATGTCAGAGAATAGCATTTTAGGGTGAACAGCATTTTCCCCATTTGCTCCTGATCCCCAGTTATACTTCCTGGCTAGTTTCTCATTTAACTCTTTTTCCTATTCTGGTGATTTTAGAATTTTAGAATATATACTTACACCTCTAATCTCTGATGTATCAACTTGATTTATTAAATTGATCAGTTTATGTATTAATTCCTTAAGATGGAAAATTAGGACTTAACCCACCTATACTGTGTCCATCCCCATTTTTCTTTCCTTTTCATGTTTGATATTTATCCAAATTAAAGTTTTCTGTTGTTACCTTTGTAATTTTAATATATTTAAACCTCAATTAGTGCTCCTTCCCTTTATTCTGCCTCCTCTCTTTCCCTACCTTGGCCAAAATCCTAGTTTCTCCTAGCTATACATTTATATTTTCTAAGCTGCTAATAATTATATTATGCCTACAAGCATAATCTCTCTTCTACACTTAGTCCATAGTTGACCTAAAATTTGAAAATCATTGAATAGCTTTTACGTCATTACCATATTTAAATATTATTCAGTATCAGACCAAATCATATAGTCTAGTTTATACCTTTTTCTATGTAAGAAAGACAGTTTTCCTGTTAGATCTCTTTCTTGTGTGAGGATCCAGACTGGGAAATCTTTGTTTGTGGGTAGGTGGGGGGCGGGGGTGGAGACGGGGGATCTGTGACTTACAGGCTTGGCTTTAGGATGGCCCATAGGGAGCAGCTGGTTGACTGGCTATAAGCCCTCCAGATACCAGAATGAGAAGGGCTTCAGTTCTAGGACACGCTTCACTCTAGCTTTTGCCTGTTCCAAACTGTTTGATTTCTTTAGGGAATATCTATTCAGTATTTGAGCTGGAGGCACATCCTGGCTCACTGCGTCATGTTTGGGGTTGTGGCAGGGGAGTGGAGGCACCAAGTGTTAGCTATTCTGGTAGGCAGAGCTTCAAGTGAGCTGCCTAGTTCACCTCTTTTTTTTTTTTTTTAAATATGTTTTTATTGATTTCAGAGAGAGGAAAGGAGAGGGAGAGAGAGACAGAAACATCAATGATGAGTCATTGATTGAGCCCCTAACCCGGGCACGTGCCCTGACTGGGAATCGAACCCCGATTTGCCTGGATCCTAGGTTGACGCTCAACCGCTGAGCCACGCCCGGCCGGGCCCTCGTTTACCTCTTACACCAGCTCTGCACGTGGTATACCAGCTGGCTCTCAGCCCAGCTTCAGGTTCTCTCAGGCGGACTGACCCCCAGCCCCTTGTAACAGGTTCCAGGCGGCAGTTCTACCCGTTTTGTCCTTCAGCTTGATCCCGTCTGCTCCTTATGTCCCTTATAAAATTTTGAAACCTCTTTTGTTGGTGACCTCTTTTATTCTTTTTTAGTGTTACAGGGCTTATTTCTCTGGCCTCTTTGTGTTTATTTCAATGGGGCCTCGAGGGGCAGGTGGTAAATGCATGTGTTTACTGTGCCATCTTGAAGATTAAGTTTTCTATTATTGCTGCTGTTACCACCATCTGAAGGGATGGCTAAAGGGACATGTCAAAGTGCAGGGTATTGCACTGAGCATTATTTTGGGCTGATATGCAAAAGGCTTGGACATTTCAAGAAAGAATACTTCTTGGTCCTGATGGGACAGTTTTCCCTTCACTTCGATCTTAAAATTTTTTAGATCAGAGTGTAATGCATGGTCTGATAAGAAAAGTTAGAATATGGTCAAAAGCAGAAGAGTCATCCAGAGTCATTGCTCAAACAAAACACTTTTTGCATTTTATGTACTTCCTTCAAGCCTTTTATTCTTCAACTATCTTTTGTATTGTAATTATGTGTCTATAATTTCATATTCTTAATCTCCTAATATAATTTTTATGTAGTCTTTGTAAACTTCATTTTTTAATTTTGATTTTTAGAAATTACTTATTTCTAACATTTACAGTTTTCACTTTAAATGCAAATAGCTGATAAAAAGAACAACATATCATACCCTGTGCCCCTTATACAGACTTCAGCCATTGGTATTTGCTTTTAGGTAATTAGGTAAAAATAAAAATAAAAACAAACTTAAAACTTTTATTTCTCTCCAAAGGAAACAAAGTTGGTATTCTATTTAACAGTGTGTGATTTCCATCCAAAAATGTTTTCACTATTAACAGCTTTGCTACATCCTGTTCTAATCCCTTCCTTCTAAATCAGATCTTCATTTGAACTTATGTCCTTAAAACTGACAGTGTTCCTTAATAATCATTAAGGTTGCAAAGTAATATTGAATGTCAACTGTAATTGAAAAACAAAAAAGCAAATAAAAAATCATTAAGGTTGCCATAGAAACACTGAGGCTAGCACCATGCAGAGGATATGATGCTGGAGGGACCTTTAGGGGATGTGCAGGAGCATCTGGCGCAGAGCCTGAGCCAGCCAGACTTCATTTTTAATGATTGTATAACTTGCCCTTTTGTGATTTTGGTTTACTTGACTATCCTTTTCTTGCTGAACACCTAAGCTGCTTTTATTTTTTAAATTTTTAAAGAATTATATATGATAGTATAATATCTCTGCATATACTTTTCTCCCCCTGGGTTTAGGATGATTTTTTTAGGGATATATACCTAAAATATATCCTGGGGCCAGAATTTGGAGCAGAGAAGAGAGGGTTGTTAAGAGGAAAGGAGATCACATTCTTTGGAACCAGGTTGGAAAAAAAAATAGACTTTTTTTTTTTTTTTAAAAGCCAGACATACCAGACAATTTGCAGACATGCTTAGATGCTATGAAATTATTTTATGAGTATGGTTGGTAATTTTTAGTCAGCTTCTGCAGATGTGATTCAGGTTTCACCATGAGTCTATTTAGAAAAGCATCTTCTAGCCTTATAGCCTTTGCAAACGAAGCCTCCTTTTTCTTTCACGGTAGCAGCTACTTTGACAGAATTTGATATGTGTGCTACAAAAGAGATGGTGGGGTTTTTGGTGGTATATGAGAGCTCTCGTACATAAAAAGCAGTTAAGTTTATTATATCGTATTAGGTTTCTTGCTTGTAAGACAAAAATGCAGCTCAAACTAGTTTGAGAAAAATACATGGAATAATATTGGTTTGTGTAACAGGATTTCAGGGTTTCACAGTTAATTATATCATCAAAACATGGTCTTTCTCTTCTAATGTCTTAGCTCTTCTCTT